AACAGGGAAAATAAACAGCAGACCACAATTTTATCTGAAGGAATGTTGACAACTGATTGCTGCTAGATGAAGACTAGCTGACCCTCCTAAAACAAAGACCTCTAGATAGGCTGACTAGATTTACCAGAAGGGCAATTAGTGGGGAATGGCTGGGGTGCTGACAACACAGCAGACAGTAGCAGGGATATCAGAGTATAAGGGCTCTGGTGGGGGGAGGGAGGATATGGGAGGGTGCCATCTGGGAACTGGGTGTATAGATGAATAAGGTGGGATATTCTGTGTGATATACACACACAAAAATAAACAAATTTAAAAAATGAGTTATATTTAAGGAGGAAGCATAAAAATTTACCTCATGTTAATTAGCAGAAGTGAAAGGCATTACCATTGAAATCTACCCGATGACTTTATATCCATGCTCAGATGCCAAGGAGCTCAGAGGGTGACTGACTGTGACTAGTGGTGGTCGGATATATAGAGATTAGAAACACATGTGCATTGTAGTGTCTATTGTATTAAAAATGAATTTTTCTGTATGAAACTGTATTTTAATAATTAAATAGAGATCTTTTTTAAAGGTTAAAACCTCAATTTTATGTCTTATAGGGTATATACTGAGTACAATATTGTATAACTGTATTAATTCAACTGTAAACCTAAAAAGTTACAGCCAATTTTGAGAGCTGCATCCTAGCTCTGGAAATTGTTACTGAATATGTCAATGCTGTTGTAATGAAATGCTTCTTCTAATTACATGGTTATTAAATAAGTAACTTTAAAAAAATGAATTTTTCTGTATGAAACTGTATTTTAATAATTAAATAGAGATCTTTTTTAAAGGTTAAAACCTCAATTTTATGTCTTATAGGGTATATACTGAGTACAATATTGTATAACTGTATTAATTCAACTGTAAACCTAAAAAGTTACAGCCAATTTTGAGAGCTGCATCCTAGCTCTGGAAATTGTTACTGAATATGTCAATGCTGTTGTAATGAAATGCTTCTTCTAATTATGTGGTTATTAAATAAATAATAAAAAAAGATTATGACAGCTGCAGAAAAAAATAGATGGAGGTGGTCATGCTAATCAAAATAAGCCAGACTCAGAAACACAGCTGTCAGATTTTTTCGTATGTTGAGTCGAGGTGTGTATAGGTCATGAAAGTAGTAGCGGGGGTGAGTCAGAAAATAGAATCAAGTATATGTATGAAAATGCCACAATGAACTAACTTAAATTAAAAAAATTACAGCACACATGTGGAGGCAAAATGACAACTTGCAGGAGTCAGTCTCTTTCCACTTTGTGGGTTTCAGGGATCGAATTCATGTCATCAGACAAGCACTTACCTACTGAGCCATTCTGCCAGCCCCTGAAACCCATTTATTTGTATGTTGACCAAAAATTAATCAGTGAAAAAGAACAATATGTTCACATACTGTTCAGTATGTTGTGTATCAATCAATCTCTTGTACTTCATCTGACATTTTGGATGATCTGACCAGCATCTCTCCCTCCCCAGCCCTGGTGGTCTTCATACCACAACTCTACCCTTTGCTTCTAAGTTTGGCTCTTTTGACTTTACATGTGACAGATGTCAAGTTTTTGGTTCATTCATATCACAAATGATGAAAGCTCTGTCTTTTGTTAAGGCTGAGTGTTCCATGGAGCACATATGGCACACTGTTATTCATCCGCTGTTGTACATCTAGGTTGACTCTATGTGAGCTGTGGTGAACACAGGTATGCAAATGTCTCCTCTACACACTGATATCATATTCTTTAGATGCATTTCCAGGAGTGGGATTGTATATTATGGTAGTTCTATTTTTAAAACAATTTTTGGTCCTAGCCTTGCACATACTAAGTTTAAATTCTACTGCTGAGCTTTTGTTTTAAATGAATGTCTCACTAAGTTTCCTCCTGTCCTAGCCTCCCAAGCAACAGGATTAGAGGCACACACTACCATACCTGGCTGATATTTTTGTAATAATTTTTTAGACAGGGTCTGTGTGTTTGCCTTTATGCCAGTGTCATGCAGTTTTCATTACTGTAGCTTTGTGGTATATTTTGAGTTAGGGTCTATGCTGCTTCCAGCTTGATTCTCTGCTCAAGATGGTTATTTGGGGTCTTTTGTGGTTCTATAAGATTTAAAAAAATGTTATAGGACACTGGGTGTGGTGGCACAGAGCTTTAATACCAGCCCTTGGGAGGCAGAGGCAGGTGGATCTCTGTGAGATTCAGGTTGCCCAGGTTTTCATAGTGAGTTCCAGGTGGGCTGGGACTAGCTAGACCCTGTCAAAAAACAACAAAAAAAGTTATAGGGTGGATGTAGTGGTGCACATCTTTGATCCCAGTACTCAGGAGGCAGAAGCAGGTGGAAATCTCTGTGAGATTGAAGCCAGCCTGGCTAACATAGCGAGTTCCAGGTCAGCTAGGGCTACAGGGAGATCTTGTCTCAAAAAAGTTATAAAGTATAGAAACAGTTTTAGGTAATACCTGTTGTTTAAAATCATATTAGGCATTTCATTTTATTATTTTGTGTGTGTGTGTGTGTGTGTGTGTGTGTGTGTGTACATGTGTCAAGGCATGTGTGGAAGCCAGAGGACAATTTGTGGGAATTGGTTCTATCCTTCTACCATGTGGGTCCTGGGGTTTGAATTCAGATCAGTCATGGCAGTAAGTGCATTGACGTGCTGAATGCACACACCTCTTTGGCCTGAGATCCACCTGCCTCTGCCTCCCAAGTGCTGGGATTAAAAACGTGCGCCACCACACCAGGTGGTTCAGCATTTTTTTTTCCTTTTTCTTTTTGAGACAGGGTCTCCCTGTAGCCCCAGCTGGCCTAAAACTCACTTTGTAGATCAGGGTGGCCTTGAACTCACTGAGATCCACCTGCCTCTGACTCCCAAGTGCTGGGACAAAAGGTGTGTGTCACCACACCCAGCTTATTCAGTATAATTTTTAAGATTCTCTTTTTCCTTTTCTATTTCTGTGAAATGTCTTTGGAACTTTGGTGATGACTGCCATTCATTCTGTTCTTGCTTTGAATGGTATGAAAATTTTAAATCTTTATAAGTGACTTGCTTGCATGTATATAAATGTGCCACATGCATGCAATGCCCATGGAGGCCAGAAGAGTGTCTCTTAGAACTGTAGTTACCTACAGTTGTTAGCCGCCATGTGACAGTAAGTACTCTTTAACTGCTAAGCCATCTCTCCAGCTCCAGGTATTAACATTTTAATATTAGTTCTTCCAAACATTGAACATATGGCATTTTCCCACTTATTATGTTTAATTTCTTTATCAATGTTTTGTAGTTTTCAGTGTATAGGCCTTTTCCCTCTGGTCAATATTTTGTTTATTTATTCTGTAGCTATTTTGAGTAGTCCCTCTATCCTTCATAGAGGCTCACTATTTAGCCCAGGCTGGCCTCAAGCTCACACAGATCTACCTGCCTCTGCCTTCCAAGTGCTGGGATTAATGGCCTATGACACCATACATAGCTTCCAGGATTTTCTTGGTAATTGTTAGTAGACTGAACTGCGACTGATTTTTCTAGGTTGATTTTGTATTCTGCAACTTTTATTATTTTTTTTGGGGGGGGGTGTCTTTTTGAGACAGGGTCTCCCTGTAGCCCCAGCTGGCCTGGAACTATGTAGACCAGGCTGGCCTTGAACTCAGAGAGATCTGCCTGCCTCTGCCTCCCACGTGCTGGGATCAAGGGTGTGAGCCACCATACCCGGCTCTTATTTTTTGAGACAGGGCCTCCCATACCCCAGGCTGGCCTCAAACTCACTATGTAGCTGATGATCTTGAACTTCTGATCCTCCTGTCTCTACCTCCCAAGAGCTGGGACTACAGGCCTGCACCATCACATCTGTTTTCCGTGGTGCTGCTAGGGACTGAACCCCTATGAAGACGCTCTAGAATATAACGGACATTCCCATGATCATGCACTGGACTACAGCAGAGCCCCAGGATTGAAGGTTCTCACAGGGAAACAAACACAAAGACATCACAGGCTTTGCACAGGCATCCACAAAGATGTGGACAGTCCACTCCCTACCAGGCAGGGAGGACCACCAAATCCTGTGAGGGACACCAGAACACTGAAGACAGTACCCACAGGGGCTAGTGCCTAGATTTTACTCACCCACTTGAGGGCCTGTGGAGGGGAAGGTTTCAATCCTCTCGACGTGTAGACCCACAGGCTTTGGAAAGCCAAATGGAAAAGCACTGCTTATTTTGGAGCCCCATAAGGCCCACTTCCTTGCCAGTGACTTCAGAAGACTGTTGGTTCTTTTTTGCTAGTTGTATAGTTGTTGGAACCCAGGGAGGTTCACCTCATGCCTTGGTTCAGGGTTCCCCTTTGGGGAACTGCAGTTAGCTGTGTTGCTGCTACAGCACCTTTGTGGTAATGTTCAAAGAGGGGCCTCCCATGGTCTCTGTGGCTAACTCCCAGCCAAGGTCTGGCCACAGAAGATGCTGCTGTTCCTGCCAAGCAGAAGGCTCCACAACAGGTCAGTCTCTGCACTGTAACCCCTGCTAGGTTGCCCATGCCTTTCTTGGGCTGAACAGCAGTTTGTGAGTCCCCCTACCAGCCACTCCCCCTTCCCCTTTCTTCTCAGATGTCAGATCTGTACCATGGTCTTAAGGCCATCCCTGCCTACTCATGATTCCTCTCCTTTTTGGTCTCCACAGGTGCTCCTTCCAATAAATCCTTTTTTTTACTCCAATTCCCTCTTGGCATCTGCTTCCTAAGAACCCAGACTGAGAGTACTACCCACCCACAGTGTGACTGAGCAAAGCCTACTGGCTCACTCTTCTGGAATGTGAAGGCTTACGAAAATCTACAATAAACCAACAATGGAACTGGAAAGAAACTCCACATTTCATTGGACTGCAGAAGAATGTGGATGCCTACAGATGGGCTGCTGTCTTCTGCGGTTGACCATTCACCACCCACAGCATGGCCAAAGAGGAATCATCCCAGGAACTGGTTCGAATACTATTTATTTAAAAATAGTTATAATGTATTGAGTACTTATGTGACAGTAACCAAGGTAAGAGCTTCCACACATTGTCTCATCCAATACTTACACAATTCTTACACACATCTCCACTATCCAAATAAGGAAATGGAGTTAATTAGGTGTTGAGCTTGGATTTCAATCAACGGCCTGATGCCAAAACTAACACTCTTTAACTTCAGATACGCACGCACACGCACACACATACCCCATGTGATGATATCTATCTAAAAGAACAAAGTTTCCAAGGAAGAAAAAAATACACAAAGTAGAAATGAGTAGAAACAGAGAAAATGAAACCACTGAATGGAATTACCTTAGAAGTCTGTAGAGGAAGAAGTAAAGACAGGGAGGCTTTGTAGGAAAAGTCTTCAACGTCTTGATGTGTTCTAAGTGCTCTTAGGCACATGATTGTTCTGGGCCTATTTTTACAAACTTGTTAATGAGGTAGTTGACTCAGATTAGTGGACTAATATCTCTAGATTTCATTTCACATTTTTTTTGTCTTTTTGAGACAGGGTCTCCCTGTAGCCCCAGTTGTTCTGAAACTCCCTATGTAGACCAGGCTGGCCTTGAACTCACAGAGATCCGCCTGCTTCTGCCTCCCGAGTGCTGGGATTAAAGGCATGGACCACCATGCCCACCCAACTCATTTCACTTTGAACATCATGCATTTTCTTCTTGTCCATAGAGCTTTTAGTTTACCATTTTATATAAAATCAAACAAGTTTATTTTTATCAAATTCCACAAGAAGCAAAATGATACACTGGGCCCAACATGAGCTATCTCGAGATCCACCAGAAGTGATCTGTCAGGATCCCAAGAGGACTCAGCCTGGGCTCTGCATGCAAAGGACCTTGGGCATGGTCTCCATCTCTGGCTTTGCATGAAGTCCTCATGAAGCCACTGTGCATGCATGTGTGTGTGTGTGTCCATGTCTATAGGCATGAGGTGGTAAAAATGGATGCAGGAGCTTTTAATCTGAAAACAGTAAATGCCATCCCCTAATTACCACAGGTTTTTGTTTTGTTTCGTTCGTGTATGTGAGAAGAGATGCTTTAAGAGATGTTAACTTTAAAAACCCTCATCTGAATTCTTTTTCATTTTCTTCATTTTTCTCTAGATCTGCAAGAGTAGATTTTCTTCACTACTGACTGCTGTTTGTTGAACTCCAGAAAAAGGCTAACAAGGGTCACTACCAGGAGAGAGGTTAAGAAGAGACCGTGCAGGCTGCATGGTCACCCTGGCTCTCCCAGTCCCATCTGTCCTGCAGGGTCACCTGTGAGGCGCAGTTAACACCGGCAGGAAAAGCAGTTCCAGCCTTTCTAGGAGGAAGGAGATAGAGAAAAGAAAACAAAATACATTATTATATGGGAAAAAGGAGTGTAAAAAACTCACTAGTTTACTATGTTAAAAAAAAGATGGCACATTTATTGCTACATAAATGTTATATACATATTGTGTTTTCTGTTACAGTGACAGAAAAAATTTTGAACTTCTTGCTGCTGGTTGAAACGGTTTATCAATAATACCTTGAATTTGACACAGGATACAAACTGCAATAAACCAACAATGAAACTGGAGAACAAGATGAAAAGCAGCTCCTCTCCAACAATTAGCTCTTACAATACTCCATAGGTACTACATGGTATGCTAGGATCCTACTATGGTCTTAAAATGCTATTGTAAATTTCTGATATTAATGAACAGGTTATGGTAGATAACCCTACATTTTCTTTTACTACCTAATATAATAAAATAAAGTAAGAAACTTTTTACTGAAAATTTTTGATTTCAAAAATCTAGAAAGAGTAATATTTAGAATTCAAGAAATTTTCTTACAAGATTATTGTATAAAAGACTAGCTACAGTGAAAAATAAGCCAAATGTTTTTTTCTTTCTATTTTATGAAGGAAAGCTTCTGGGCTTACTGCAAAGTCTAATATAGCGAAAAAGACAACAAGCTCTGGAGAAGAAAGGCCAGGCAGTGGCTCTGTGCACTCACACATCATAAGCAACAACTTCTGTTCTAGCTGATTAACACTGAAATGAAGAACAAGGCCACAGATAGGGGTCTGATGGAACTGGAGAACATATGCAAATTAAGGTAACCCAAAAGTCTACTAAGTTCACCAATGACTGACTTGTCAGAATAGTCTTGATTAGAGGATCTGAAGTGCTGTCTTAATGTTTTTTTGTTCTTTCAAATGAGCCAGAATCTTTGTTATAGAATGATTTGGATTCTTTCTTCTGTCTTAATGTTTTTTTGTTCTTTCAAATGAGCCAGAATCTTTGTTATAGAATGATTTGGATTCTTTCTTCTGTGTGCTGACTGCCATTGATAATGGCTCTCAGGAATTTACTGAGCCAAGACAACCTTGTTCAGCATGTTTTCTCTCCCAGGGTTGTGGTAGTGGAAGACAGATTTCATGGAAGTTCAAAGTGACTACTGTATCCTTAGAAACAACCCCCCTCCCAAAAAAAAACCCCACCTCCTAAAGATTAGAGACAGAGGGTGCCTTAATGATGGACTGACAAACACAGGTTCAGTGCTAATCTGGCTCTTCTTGGGATAGGGGCAGGTGGTCTGCAGTTGATTAAACCACCCACTGAGAATTCCTCCCCACTGACCAGCCACCCAAACAACAGAGAAATGAAGGCTAGGATAAGGAAATACATGACCATTGCTCTTGGATTCCATAGGTAATTAGCTTCAGAGTGGTATGTTCATTTTCACACTACCTGCCCAATGACTACTGGATTTTGTTACGTTCACCACCACAATCACAGCCTGAAAAAAATCATCTTTGTATTTTGAATGCATTTTGTGCTTACTTACAGCTAACACTTTACAAGTACTATATTATGTAGTACTTACTGCTTGCAAAACGAAGCAATTTCTAAAAAGTAGACTCCTCTTGAAAGTTATACTTCTTGCTATTACAAGCTTTACTATGAAACCTAGAAGCCTGAAAAGTCTTAGTTATTATTAGGAATAAAGCAATGTTTATTTGGGGGAAAAATCTCGGGGACAAAATTTCCCCTTTCAAAATCTTCACTAGGCTATGGTCACAGATGGTGTCTGCTTACCAGTGCAGGGACATCGAAAAAGCACACAGGGCTGTGTGGAGGGTTCTGGACTGTGACCATAAACTATGCAGACTCAGAGATCAAATATAACACCCACAAAGAGAAAATAAAAATGAACAGAAAGATGAGAGAGAGATGCTCTACCAAGTAATATTTTCCTATTTCATGGAAAACACTATTCATATGGCAAACGGTAGGAGAGGGCGACAGAAGACTTTTCCCTTCCTTTTTAAGACACTAACAGGTATGCCGGGAATGCTAAGGGCCAATGGTTGTCACTGCTTTGTTCTCTGCATGTGAACAGCTTTAACAATGCTCGCATCAGCTGAGGACAGATCAGCTTTCCACAATAACTTTTTCCCTTTATATGTAGACCTTACAGTTCCATAACAATAAATAAAATTTGTAGTTACAATGCATTTGTCATTTCGTTTAGGCACAAGGCAACTTCCACGGTGAGTGGAGAGATCGAGACAGTCTCTGATTGTGCAGAAGCGACACACTGCTTGCAACAGAATGATACGCTGCAAACATCTCATGGGCTGACGTTCTATCTGATGAGCTTCCCATCTTCACTTCTGATGGAAGTGTTGACCAGTTACTTTGATCATAGGATTATATTTGAGTTTCTTGCTTCAAGTGTTTTGCTTTTTCTTCTCCCTCCTATCAGGTTTATGTCTTCAGATAATCTGAGTTGTCCAAGTCTTTTTGAGGAGAGGTCACCTTTATTTAGCCTACTGATAACTCTGGAACTGTGGCAAGGAGAGAACAGGACCAGTTAGAACACAATTATCAAAAGTAACACTACTCCTCCAAATCCCAGTTAGTGCTCTTCATTCACACCTAGGTTTGCACTGACTTACACACAAGCTTCTTTCTGTTAAGGTGTTAGTGGTCCCTCCTCATCAGAGGGGGCTATGTCCCAAGATCTTCAATGGCTGCCTGAAACTGTGGATAGCACTAAATCTTACTTGTACTATGTTTTTTTCCTATATATACATGCTTAGGATAAAGTTTATAAGTTAGGCACAATAAAACATGGACAACAATAATATAGTCATTACAAAAACCTATTATAAAAGTTTGTGCTCTGGGTCCACTATAAAGTTATGATAAGGACTGCTTGAACACAAATGCTGTAATATCATGATAATAGATAGCAAAAATGGCTACTGAGTAACATAAGCAGTGTACACAGAGTGCATACACTAGACAGAGCTGATTCACTTCCTGGGCAGGATGGAGTGCCATTTCTTTACAAATAGTTAACTACAAGCATGTACCCCACACACTGCAAATTCTTGTCTGTTTATACCAGCCAGTCATTCCACAGTTAATTTCCCAGTCATTCTAGTAGCATTTCTCCTGCTGCCCAGTCTCTTGCTGGTTAACCTTTTGGTTTTCTGGTAATTACTTTTATGAAATTAGCAAGGATTAAAGTATATTCTGAGATAAATACTAGCCTATAAATTATATGGAACAAAGTGTATTCACTGTATATAGTTTTTTTTTTTTTTTTTTGGTCTTTTTAAGACAGGGTCTCCCTGTAGCCCCAGCTGTCCTGGAACTCACTATGTAGAACTCACAGAGATCCACCTGCCTCTGCCTCCCGAGTGCTGGGATTAAAGGCATGTACCACCACGCCTGGCTTGTATATAGTATTTTTAAAATTTAAAAACATTATGTGTGTATGAGTCCTTGGAGACTAGAGCTATTGGATCCCCTGGAGCTAGAGTTATGGGCAGTTCAACTCCTTGACATGGGTGCTAGGAGTTGAAATCTGGTCCTCTGGAAGAGCAGCAAGTGCTCTTAACCACTGAGCCACCTCTCTAGCCCTGCTACTATAATCTTCAAGTCTTTTTAGGCTCTGAATCAAGTGTGACAGTTGAACATCAAGTGGTCTTTTCACAGCCTAGAAACCTAGGACTTTAGCTTCATATAAAGTTATTTATTACTTTTCTATTAGATCTATCAATTTACAAATTCACCCTCTGCACTGAGAAATAGTGGCCATATTTTTATCTGAAAACATGAACATTTATTTCTCTGTTTTTATTTTCTGTATGTGCTCCAGTACTTGTGAAAGATGTGGAGCAAGGGTGGGAGGAGAAATACTGCGAGGGGAGAGCTGCTGTTCAGTCTCTTCTTGGAGAGAGCATTGTGCCAACTCAGAACAGAAGACCCAGCACTTCCTTCATGAGCCACAGGTCACTCTAAAGTTCTGAATAATTTGGTCTACAATGAAAATGGCTCTAATGAGTGAAAGGAAGGCAATCATTGAATTCTGAATTATATGTGACATTTACAATGGTCAGTGCCTATAAGAGAAATCTGCCCCACAGTTCTAACCCACTTTAAAATGAAGCCCTCTCCTTGCACTTTCCTCTCAGACCCATATGTACCTGGCTGATGTTTACAGATGACCCATAGGGTTGGTAGTTTCACTAAGCCCAGGATGAGCTCCTGGCAGTGTGGTTGGCGGCTCTGCTGATGCGGCAGAGACTTTCTCTTCTTCTCTTCTCTTAAGGCAGGCTGCTTTCGGGTTGAGGTTCCTCTCTACAGCAGGAAAAGAATTGTTACCATGGTCAGAAGGCAGAATTAGGGATTTGGGGGAGAGGGTGGTGGCAGTAGTGAGCCAGGATCTCTAACCTTGACTGGCCTGGAACTCACTCTGTAGTAACACAGGCTGGCCTCCAACTCATGGCAATCCTCTTGCGGGCTGTCTGTACAGTGTGAACCACCACAACTGGCTAAGGCCTGTTAAATCTTAAGCTCAACAAACTGCTGTTTTCCTTTCTGTGAGGATGATCGATCTCTGTAATTTCATTTTCATATCAAATCCCCTCATTTACAGAGGCAGCCATGCAACGCTTACATAAAATTTCTGCATTGGTCGCCGGGCATGGTGGCACATGCATTTATTTAATCGCAGCACCTGGAAATAGAGGCAGGACTGGTCTACAAAGCAAGTTCGAAGCCAGCTGGGGCTATAGGGAAATCCTGTTTCAAAATCAAACCAAGCTAAACCAGAAACAAACAAACAAACAAAAAACAGCATTAAACGAGATGCCAAATTAAAAATTCTTAGTGACCACTTACTATCTTCTTCATTTTTTTTTGCTTATGATTTAATCCACTAGGGTTTAACTTGATTGAAATCAACACGTAATCTTATTTAAACATTTTGGCAAGTGTCATTATTTGTCAACCAAGTTCTACTCGGAGTCCTGCTAAGACAGGGCATACTGAATGGATACCAAGGATGATGCTTTCTTGTACTTAGAGAGGTATGTGTGTTGCATCTTGAATTTGACCAGCTCAGAAAATGATAAAGAGACAGGGCTGGAGAGATGACCCATTGGTTAATAGCATTGGCTATTCTTGCTGAGGACAGGGTTTGGTTCATCTAACAATGACCTGTAACTCTAGTTCCAGGGAATCTGACATCCTCTTCTGTCCTCTGCAGGCATTACATGGCACAGATGCACTTAAATACATGGAGGCAAAATACTCATGAACATAAAATAAAAATAAATTAAAAAATTTAAAAGGAAAATGATAGTGATGCCCTCAACTATTCCTCACTGGAAACACATCAACTCAAGGAAGACAGGTAACTGCTGCATTGCCTCCTTTCTGATCCTAATGTATATATAGAACAGGATGACTTGAGTTCTTTCTGTGACTGTATATAACTAAGTGCTTAAATGTCTATTACTTCTGACAGAAGACAGCAGGGATGACTAGATGCCATGTGTGACATGGTGTGCTGGATAACTTTAGTGTCAACTTGACACAACTGGGTTGAGGGAGCCTCAATTGGGAAATTGCCTTCACTGGATTGGCCTGTGGCCATGTCCATGGGGCACCTTCTTGATTGAGTGATGTGGGAGGGCCCAGCCCACTGTGGGTAGTGCCACCCCTGGGCAGGAGGCCCTGTTTTGCATAAGAAAGCAGGCTGAGCAGGGGTCAGGGGAGCAAGTCAGTAAGCAGTGATCCTCCATGGCTTGTGCTCCAGCTCCTGACTCTAGGTCCCTGCCCTGAGTTCCTACCTTGGGCTCCCTGATGAACTGTGACCTGGGAGATATAAGACAAACCCTTTCCTCCTCAAGTTGGTAGTGGTCGGTGTTTTGTCGCAGCAATGGAGAAACAAACTAGAACACGTAGCATTTCTGAGGTGTAAAAGAACAGCAGTTACCATAAAAAACGGAATGTTAAGATAGATAGCTGTCTAGCCTATGACTGTTTCTTATATAACTTTTGTTTCTGTTGTGAGTATACAATGTAGGGTTAAAAGTGTCACATATATTTTAATAAACTGATTCAAAATGCCTTAATGGCTGTAAAGGGATCATTAACTAATAGATATAATATTTTCAGAAATTTTACACACACACACACACACACACACACACACACACACACACAC